CCCTCATTTTTGGATGTGATAATGCACCAGGAAACCCTTTGAAAAGGCCAATGAATAGACAAAACAAAAGAGTGGGCCTGGCCTGAGGCCAGCACATGGACACAAGCCTCCACGTTAACCTTGGCCAGGTGGCCTCAGCAAACAGCCCAAGGCTTCAGCAAGGTGAGTGCCCACTGCTGGGGACCAACTCCACCATGGAAGCTGCCCACACTTCTGTGTTTCTTGCCCTGTGGCGGGTGAGCCACTGTGATCTCTAAGTTCCTATAGGTGGCACCTGGCCAGAGCAGGAAATAGCATCAAGGGTGTGAGAAAGTCATTCCCTTCTCAAGCTCACTGTCACGCTCCCAATCCCGCCACAGGGTGGCGCCGGTCCATCTCTGTGCTCCACAACCCTGATCTCCCCTCTAGCAAGAAGTCATCTTCAGGCTCAGTGTCAGCCTGAGGCCAGCAGGCAGCTAGAATTCAGTGACATCACTTTGCTTTGATTCTTCATTGATAGGAGAGACAATTCTTTAAAAAATAAATCAGTGTAGGTGGAGACAAGGAGATTCTGTTTAACAAAAGTATTGAGAAACTAGTTTGGGCGGTGGCAAATTTTCTGAAGATTGATTCATTCATTACTAAGGTTTTGGAAGCAATTGGTTAGTTATCTGGCAGGACTTCACCTTTCAGTGTCTGGAAGTAGCGCTTCGGGGGCAGGGCAGGGTCTGCAGTGGGACCAGCTTCATCTGCTGCTGCTCACTGGAGCCTGAGGCCACCACCCAGCCGGACACCTCTGGTCCACACTGGGGAGTTGGGTTGTCTTTGGGCTGGGCCTGGCATGATGATCTAACCATGGTAGTTACATGCAGGGAAGCTAGTGTGGGCCAGATGGGTTTGACTGAGTGCATCTTGGGTTGATTATTTAGCTGCTCTGCAGCTTAGTTTCTTTTCTATGAAATGAGAGTGACACAGATCCCCACCTCAGGTTGTTGGAAAGCTCAAATGAGAAAATTAAACATGAAGCATGTGGTAAAGACTTCACAAATGGTTGCTGCTATTATTACTATTATGAGCCATTACTGTCGGTGAGTTTGGAATTGTTTTCTTTTTTTTTTTGCAAATCCTTGAGTGCCACCTGGGGGAGGGGCAAAGGCAAGAGAACCAGCTCAGCACCAATTCCCCAGAATTTGTTTGTTGGGTCTCAGGCAGTCACACCAGCCCCCTCCCCGCCGCCCCCACTTTCCCTGGGATCTTTGCCAAGCCCTAAGCCAGGAAACCTTGTTATATTAATTATGAAGAAAAAGCATGTTTTATTTAAAATGCCGGCTGCCGACTATTCTGCCACGCTGTTTCTCTGTGACAGCAGACCTGCTTTTGCATTTAGGAAACCCTAATGAATTTAGAATATAAATATATCTGTGCCTATATACACAGGCGATTTCCTGCGACCTGATTTCCCTAAATACCAGTACACCGCCAAAGCTAATGAGTTGGAGTCATGCTTAGGATCAGTTTAAAAAAAAAAAAATTTATGAGAAGTTGAAATTAAAATCAATCCCTCCCTTTTCCGGAAGACTCTGTGTAGATTAGAGCAAGAGGGAGAAGGACACCTCTCCCACCTCTCCTCAAAGCCTTCTGGGGTCTGAGAGCCTGGCAGAGGGTGGCTCAAATCTTCCCATCCAAGGACTTATTTGGTTCTGTGGCCCTTGTGGGTTTTTGTGCTTGAATCAATTAGAGGCTGAGACTGGTCACTTGCCCATCCCAAACTGGCTCCAACACTTCCATGGCATTTCCAAGCAATAGCAGACAAGTGCGCTCTGTCTCTTCGTCTGTGCGTGTCTCTCTCCTTGGCAGAACCAGACAGCAATGCACAGCAGTCCAGTGGGAAGGGTGCAAAGCATGATGGGACCACGGAATCTGGGAGACTCAAATTTCTTCTGATAACAGAGTGCTGGCTACTCACCTCACAGTACTGTGCAAGATTGTGTGAGCCCAGTGTGACCAGAATGTCTGATTTTTAAAACGCTTGGAGATCTGTATCTTTGAGTGAAATGCTCTGATTTCCAAATGCTGCCTGGCAACTAAAAGAAACCTATACCACTCTGCAGGCTGAGCTTCTGGCTGAATAAAGGCCAGGCTGTGCACAGAGTATACTCCACGCTGCCAAGCTGCAACCTTTGGTCTGTACAACTGTTACTGCAGCTCTATACCTAGGAAGATTCTAGGGTTTATAGGGCCCGGAAATGCAAGCAAGCAAGCATTTTAACGGTGAGATGTCTTTGTTTGGGGAAGCCAGTCTCTGCTCCTTTCTGGGAATGGGCCAAGATAAGCAGGACAGGTCCAACAAGCCATCCTCTGGCTTCTAACCCTAGGAGAGGTCAAATTCCACTGCAGCTACCCAGTGCACCGCCCTAAATCATTCTAAGAAGGATAGCAGGGAGATTTCTAAGACAGTCTCCATCTTTCTTATAGTAGCCTCCTATGATAGAGAAGGAATTGGACAGATCTGTGTCCCAGTCCTGGCCAGAAAGTTAGTTTAGCACCTCCAGGGTGGTTTCTAATTCAGAGAGCAGGGCTAACAACACACAGCTATGCTGGGGCTAGGTGTCAAAACCGATTAGTATGGAAAAACCTGTGTAGAGCAGGAGAGAAAGATCTATGAAGGGAGCCCTGGAGTTCACAGCAATGATATCAGACCCATATCTCTTTGAACAGTGGACTAGTGGATATATAAAAATCTAAGTTAAAGATGACCCCAGAGAGCAGCCAGTATATTTGCTGCATGATCTGAATTCATGGGAGTCTCCCTGGTGTCTTGCCAATGGGTAGCCATCACAGAGAGTTTCAGAGGCGTGTGGAGTTAACCACATTCCGCCCAGCAGACAGGACCCTGGTCTGAGCCTCCTGTGCCCACCAGAAGGACCATGCCCCTGCTGTGATATGGACCAAGTAGATCTAATGCTTAGCCAGGGCGCCCAGCCTACTGCCCAAAGCTCAGCTTCACTACTTCTATACTACATGACTTGGAGCCAAGTCATCCAGCTCCGTGTTTATAACATGGGAACAGTGACAGTGCCTACTGCTCAGGTTCCCGCTGGAGATGAACCAGTCTACAGAAAGCTTCTGGCCTAGCACTCAGGACCCCTCATTATGTGGTAGCAGTTGGTTGTTATCTTTAACTACATCTGGCTATGTGGCTTCTGCCTCCTGATGATGTCCCAAACTCTCCAAAGCATCTGAGCTACTTGGCCACTTTCCCCCGGATGCCTGTGTACAGGCCCATGGAATGCTAGCTGCCTTCTCGACCACCTGTCTGGCACACATCTGGGTAAGAAAATATTCCAAAGCCCCCGAATCCTCTCTTTGGAATTGACTAAGCTCATTGCCCGAAGGCAGTCTCTCATATTTTCTCTTTTATCCATTATTGACTTATAATTTCATCGCTAACCCTAAAAATTCACTGGGGCTTATAAAAAAGAGATTTTTTGGGACCATTATCCTTTTGTGAACTTCAAACAGACTGCATCAACCCTTCTCCTTGCCTGCAAACTTTAGGCTTAATTCCTTCTGACTGGTACTTTCTCTGGACCTCTTGTGGGCCTTCCATAATTTCCACAGCCTTTCTCTAGACCTGTGGGATTTCTGCTACATCTCAGCCCCAGACAGTCAACAAGCAATCAAGTGCTGTACACAAGTCATGATTTGAAAAGAAAGCCCTTTCCAAAGTGAATCACCTGGCAGCTTACTACGTGGGTAAGAGAGGTGTCTGAGAAGTTTACTGAAAGAATAAGAGAAGCTGTTGTCTTAAAAACATGCTAATGAGAAAATCTACAATTCAATCTGCTTCCTTCAGGAAATGCTCTATGGTACAAAATGGGAAATAAAACACATAGGCCTTTAATACAACACAGAGGTTATGACCGTAACTTCGGTTCTTGGCCCCTGCCTACTCTCTTCCTCCATCTCCTCAACAGTGGGGAGCATTCTGATTTTTTTTTTTAGAGAGAAGTTGTGTTCATTCTGGAAATTTTAAAGGAAAAGAGCTAACATTTATTGAGAGCCACATGCATGACCTCGTCTAATTGTGGCCTCCCCACATCTGTGAGAGATCAGCACTCGGTTTGCAGGCGAGGACACTGAGGCTCGGGGGGATCATGTTACTGGCCCAACATTCCACAGCCACAGTGTGGCAAAGCTGAGATTTGATTCCTGCACCCAAGGCCCACAGTCATGCCTCAGCCGCAGCCAGTGTGGGACCACCAGGGGGCTCAGTTGCTGCAGAAGGTGCTCCTTCCCTGTACACAGAGATCCAGCCGACACTTCGACCTCGAGGGCACACAGAAGGGCTGCACTTAGCTCAGGGTCTTCAGTCCCCCATTCGAGACCTTCTGATGCCTGTTCACTTCCCTGCTCACCACAACCTACCCTGGGCTCCCGCTCACCTTCTCTGCCCTGTCCAGTCCACTGTGGTCGTGAAAAATGAGAAGAAGGACTGACTGAAGCCTCTCCCTAAATCTAATCCATCTAAGCAAATCCTTTGCCAGAGCATTTATAGCCAGCAGGACTCCCCTGGAAGGCCAAGCATGAGAGATCTTATCCCTAGGTGGGCCCCAAATGGCTGGAAAACTGGCCGTGTATATGTCAGCACTGGCACATAAATCTATTTTTCTGGGAAGAGAGTCTGTAGCTTTCACAAGCTTCTCAGAGAGGACTCTGAGATCTATGCCAGGTTACAACCCATTGATTAGGGGATTTTCTTGACCCAGTCTCCTTTGAGGGGAAGTTTTCATGAAGACGCTGCTCCTAGAGGGCTCATGTCTGATATAAATCACCATGGAATTTATCACTCGACAGCAGCCCAAGCTATATATAGGCCCACGTGTGATCTTGTAGACAGAAAGTTTCAGCATGACAATCTGTCTTTCACAGCTCAAGTTTCCCCTACTCCCAGCCCAGTTGAGTGGTCTTCCTACCAACTTCAGGGTCTCCATCCAGAGGTATTAGAAAAGAACACTTACCCCATCTGCAGACTTTCCCATCAGAACAATTAACAGCAGAACCCGGAGCTCAGACATCCTGGCAAACATCACAGCAGGTTAAGCCCTCCTGGTTTGCTTTCAATGTAATTTCTTTTGTTGTCTATGCCTTTGAGGGGTGGATGTCAGTCTCTAAGGATTCAGGAACAAATGAAGAGGATGCAAATTATTAACTAGGCATCAAATACTGTTTAATGTTTAATGTTTTGCAAACCAACTATCTTGATTAAACAAATGGCAACTTTGGGGCTGGGCTGAGTCATGGGGTAGTTTCTCTTCTGGGAAGAAAGTCTCCAAAGAATGCGGCCAAATAAAGGTGCTCATGGGATGTGCTGAGCGTTCAGTGCAGAGGGCCACAGGATGAAAGAGGAGGCACCTGTCTCAGGCCTTTGCTGCTGCTCATTTGGGGAGAATGTCGATAGATTTCTGATTCATCATCTCCAACAGAATTTCAGTACGGATGGGCTCCTAATAACATCACACTTTATATTCATGAAAGATAAATTAAAGGATGCAAAACTGCTATTGACAAACATTGATTCTAGGCCCTTTGAAGTGTGGGCTCCAGTTCCTTGTTGGCTACAAAAGTTTCCTTTTAAATCTCATTGCGTAAGGTTTTTACTTTTCAATTATTTTCTTCCTTTCATGGGAGTCTTTCTTTGATCAATGGGAGCGAAAAAACATGATGCTTAAATATCAGGACAATTGTGCCTTATTTAGCTACACTGGTTGTAGGTAGGGCTATAAAAAGCAGCAATTACCTATTAAGCACGGGTTCTTGTGGACACAGCTGATCTCTTTAATAACATGGCCTTGAGCCCCTATAAAAACACCTGACCACCACAGTAATGTGAGTGCCAGGAGTCCTCCAGACTCGAGTCCTACACGCAGGCCCTGAGCTGCTGCCACCACCCGAGTGATGTGTGTACCTGTGCTTCCCACCCATCTCTCCCCCTCTGCCATCCTCATTTGGCACTGGACAGGGTTCCAGAAGATTCCCCACAGTGGAGATGAGGGACTGAGATTCACCCCACTAACGAGACAGATTGCAGGTTCACTGATTTCCTTCACAGAAAAAGAGTTTTCAGGACATGTCAGTAAGAGCATAGAGATTTATTCGGCAGAAGTTTAAAAGTACACACTCAGAGAAATTCAGTGCAGGCTCCCAAGAGGGAGAGAGGCCCTTGTGGCCCGGAGTTGGATGTATTTAGGAACGTGGGGGTATCCCTAGGATGGGTTATCCAAGTGTCCAGTTTTGCTTATTTGGTGGGCTATACTAAAATGCAAACCATTTACATGTGTTGGAAGCTGAGAACTGCTGTCCTCTTGATAGTGTACTATCTGAGGATGGGTGTTAGTAGAAAGGAGCCCAATTTACAGGTGAAAGACATACATCCCTGGAGCCTAGTTTACAGGCTCATTGTCTTTAAGGTTCTTAGGAGTTTTTCCTGGAAGGGAAAAAAGCCGTGAATAACTTTTGTGTCTTAAAGTTTGGGGGCTTTTTAAAAAAAGTGCATTTTTAATATTACAATTGTCCTTGTCTCCTTTCTATCTATCTCTCGCTCTCTATTTTTTTCTACCTCAAGACTGCTCAGTGGCTGCTCCCACCTGTGGAAGCCAGGCTGCGAGATGGAGGACCCCAGTGATCCCAGCCCGGGAGAAGGCCCAGTCAGTGCCCCACTCACCAGCTGGGCCCGGAGAGACCAGCCATGTCCTGTCACTTTACTGCCCAGGTAACTTTCAGTTTGCTTTCTTTTCTCCACTTATTTTGACTCCACCCTACTTTAGGCAGCAAGAACTCCCTTCCGATCCAAATCCATCTGACTTCTATAACACATGCATTTGCTATTCCTTTTTCCAGAACGTTCTTCTTTAACCTAATCCTATACTCCCAGTCCTTGCTCCACCCTCGTCTCTGTTCTTCATGCTAACCCTAACCACTGGTGGGAAAGTCAGTGTAGTTAATGCACCCAATGTATGCATCTTTTAGGTCTTAGCCCAAACATTTTTTCCTCAAAAGCCATACATGTATTTTGCCTTAATAGCATTTATCAAAGTCACAGTGATGTTCTCATATTGCTGTTTCCTTCATATTTGTTTCACTGCAGCTCCATGTTAGATGGGACGCTCCTGGGGAAAGGTTTCTGTTTCGCTCACCATAGAATTTCTGGCATAGACACCTGGCACTTGACAGGTGCTCAGTAAATTTATGTTGCATGAAATGAACAAAGGAGCAGTCATTTTCTGAAAGTGTCAATTGGCCATTTTATAACCGGGATACCTTTGCTGGGGTGGCCCACTCAATGTGAAAATGATATTTAAAAAAACCCCAATGCATTTGTAGCATTTGTGGCTCATTTCTAATGATTCATGAATACGACATTAATATTCTGCAAGTGTTCTCTGGAGGGCTCCTGTGAGCTGGGCGCTGGTGGAATAGGGATGAAGGAGGCAGATCTGAACTTCACACCTGAGGAACATATGCTCTGGTTGAGGATGAGAGTAAATTGTTCATTTTACTTAATGAAGAGTAAGAAAAAACAAGGTGGAAGGTGATGGGACAGAAACCCTCATGGGTGAGGAGTTTCCACAGACTGGAGGGTGACAACAGTAGCTCAGAGGGTCATTGGTGAAGACTGGGGATTTTGCGGGTAGTTACCTGATTGTGGAGCAAGGTCAAAGAGTCAGCACACAGGGAGGCATTTGCTGTTTTCCGGATGCAAAGCTGGAGTCTCCCTAGCATCTGCACAGACAGTAAAAAGCAAAAATGGAAACGTTCAAGCAAGCCAGATCACTAAATCACTCTTCCTCCACTGCTTTATGTACTAGTGACCTTCTGACTTGGTGAAGAGATAACCAGAAAACAAACCAGAAACTTTTCTTCCTGTGTCAACAGGAAGTGACCCGGGAGAGTTTGCTGTTCACTTTTGTCATCTGGATTAATTTTCCTGTCATGTAATCCTCTCTTTATTTCAAGCAGAAGGGGGCCAATTTGCTCTTTCTGTTCATAACTACAGGCCTCCGACACGTTGTCTTTTATTTCCCTGAAGTTTTGTTATCATGACAATGTGAAATTCAATAAGTTTCTCTGCTTGATCCTAAAGGACAGAAATCTCTAAAAGATTTAATCCTTTTAATTCAGGAGGACAAAGGGGCTGGTTTATCATGTCATATGTTTTTATCCGGGGAGTTGGAACAAACCTACCTAGGATCTCTAGTTTTTAAATCCAAACAGAGAGCCTTCTGTGCTCATTCTGGTGGGGTGTCAGATGGTTCAGATCACTCTATTCTCTGGGAGCTTGGGTGACAGTTTCTCATGTGTTGGGTTACACGCCATGAGTAGAGCTCCTGTCCCATATAGCTGGCCTTGGAATCTGGTTTTCTAATGGGTAGATTCCTCCACACTTAGGAAAGACATCCTCCCAGTGCCCTGGACAGCCCCACCTTTGATGTACCAGCTCAGGGATACTTTCTAACAGATTGTTGGGCCTGAATGTAGGCGTCCTATGTTTGTTTTTCTGCAGTCATGGTGCTCTCCCTGCTCATTCTTGTTGTGGGAGCCCACAGAGAGGCAATCAAACTTGGCAGTCTGGATTCAACGTAGAGAGGGGCTCTGCCACATCCCCTCTGACATGTAATCTTTGGACTCATCATTTACCCTCTGTGGGCCTCCATTTCCTCACCCATAAAATAGGGCTACTATAGCTCCTCCTTCAGCGCATTATGGAGAGGCGTCCATGAGAGGATAAAGGTAAAGTGCTTAGTGCAGTGGCGGGCATAGAGCAGAACTTTGCAAAACATCCTCAGAACCTACCCACAAAGCACTCACACCCTTCCCTGTGGTTAGCGCCAGACATCTTTGGTGGTGGTGGTGGGGGGAGACAATGACCATATTCAGACCATTCAATCATTCATTCCACCTACTCAGAGCCAAGCCACAGTCTAGAGAGTGAAGAAGACCAAGCCCAGCCATGTGGAGCAGCCTTCCTACAGCAGAGTCACGAGGTTGATCTGCAGGTAGCTTTCTAAGGTCACCCCTGAACCCGATCAAAGATCCCATGCCGGGCCGAGAATTTAGCTCAGTGGTTTCGCCACCTGCTGCACAAACTCAAGGACCTGAGTTCGATCCCCCGTACCAAAAAAAAAAAAAAGATCCCACCACGCCACAGGGAAAGGTCACTGGTCTTTCCCATTACTCCCGTGGGCCCCGGCCTGATCCATTAACTTCCAGGGGCCCCTAGTGTGAGGGGAAGGAGCAGAGGAAGTGCCTTGGTGACCTGGCATGGGATGAGTAACCTTGCCCACTTGGCCCAAGGCCCCGAGCCCCTTCATACAATCATATGCATAGGAAACACCCTGGGATGCACACAGCATCATCTGACCCACGAGACTCCAGGATGTCCCTGCCCCTGAGGAAAACAGTATTCACCAGGCAGCTTCTGTATTTCAGGCTCTTCTATGGTCCTCAGCTCATATTAATCATTTCTTAAAAATAGTACTGGGGAGCCCGGGGTCTTTTCACTGATCTACATTCCCAGCCCTTTTTTATTTTTCATTTTGAAACAGGGTCTTGCCAAGTTGCCCAGGTGGGATTCGAACTTGCCATCCTCCTGCTGCAGCCTCCCTCAGTGCTGGGATCACCAGCATGTGCCACCACACTGGCTTCCTATCACTCTTCTTAACTACAGTAAAGGTGATTTGGCCCATTTTGCAGTTATAGAAAGTGAGGCTCAGCAAGGTTTTTAACTTGGCCAAGCCCATGTAACTTGAAATAGGGCCAGGATCTGAAGTCCTACTGTCCCGCGTGCAGTCCTGGGGCTTGGGACCATCTGAGCACTTACAGAGGAAAATTTATCCAAAAGCAAAGCTTGTGCATTGCCTAACAACTCCCATCTTCTCCCCTTCCTCACTGTCACTTATTGAGCTGGCATGCATGCAGTGTTGTTTGAAGAAATCGTGTCCTTCCGAGAACAGCAGCCACACTGTCTTAGGCCGGGTGTCCTGGGGCATAGAGTCACTGGTATTTGTGCACAGGAAGCTTGCTGGGAGCAGAGTGCTCTTAGGATCCACAGCATGGGGGAGGGAGGGAGGGAGGGATGGACGAATGGGCAGAGGAGTGTTGGGGTGCGGTATCATTGCAGCAAGGTCCATCCTGCAGAGAGTCACTGTCCTGACCTGAGTGAAGCGGGCTGCGCCTTGTCCTGGGATGTCCCATCCCTGGATATGGGGGACCCTGTAGAAGGGGCATGGCTTTGGTCAACTCTCTTTTGTGGAGGGTAATTCTCAGAGAGGAACTCAGCAGAGCCCACAGCATCCCACGCCAGTTGCTGAAGGAAAGGTGCTCAGTTTGGAGGCAGGACCTGGGAGCACACCACATAGCCACTGGCAGCTTGAGGCGAGTTCAGTGACCCTCACATCAAGTCCCGATTCAGGAAAGCTGAGTGGCTCAGCCAGAGTTTGAATGAAATCTCTAGTCTATGCATGTCTAGGCAGAGATGGCTGGAGCCACACACGTGGCCAGGCTGATCCTCTGGCAGCAACGACAGATGTTCAGTTAGATTAATCAATGCCAAGGAGAAAACCAGGATGCCATTATGGAAGCCATAAACTCTGCACAGCTATTAAACAGAGCTGCAGATTTAGAGCTTGAATTCTTATTGGCCAAAGGGAAAAGAGAAATGTGATCATTTGGCATGATTTACATCATACTTAAGCCAACTTTATAGAAAAATAAAGTTATTTTTCTCTTTGATGGTCAATTCCAGGTCAACTTTGATTTTCTAAAAACCTTACATCCTGACGAGCAGAGATAGGACTTGGGTAGACAGAGTAGGGATCCGGACTAACACAATGAAACTCCTCAATTCCACGCTCCCCTTCGGAATGGCCAGGGGATGCACACCCCTCTGTGGGCAGTCAGAGGCCCAGATGAACCCATGACATTTGCTCTATCCTCAGAAGCTGGTGCTGAGTCTCCGGCACACAGCAGATGCTCAGGCATTGCCAGCTGGGGATGGAGGGAATGAAACGGCCCAGGCCACACACATGGTTTGCCAATTGGAAGCTTGGAAATATCACTGATCTCTTCCTTTCTTTCCTCTCCTCAAACCCAAATCACATGCTTGTGTCTACCTCCAGAATGCATCTCACATCTTTCCAGCATCTTCCATCTCTGCTGCTCCCACCCAAGTTCAAGCATCCCTCAACCCCTTCCCTGTAGCAGCCCCCACCACCACTTTGCCTGTTTCTACTCCTGCCTCTTGCTCAACCCATTCTGCAATATTCAGTAGCATTCATTTTACACACACTTAATCAGGTTAGGGCACATCCCTATTGAAAATTCTTCAGTATTTTCCCTTTGCACTTTGAATAAAACCCCGGACTCCTACCATGACCCTGCTTAATATGACCCAAGTTTATTTCTCCAGCTGCATCTTGTGTCCTTATCACATACTGTTCCCCACAAATCCTGGAGCATGCCTGTCACATTCATTGTATCTCCATCCCCTCATTCTGGACCTGGTATAAAGTGAGCAGCAATACATAAATGTTGGATGGATGGATGGGGAGATGGATGGATGGAGTAACAATGGGCAGTCACATTTGATCAGAAGACAGACTCCCCTCTCTTGGCCAGGGCTCTCAGCCAAGCCCTGGACTCCAAATTCAGAGACACCTCTCTTGGCATGTGAACCCTGGCCTGGAGTCATGGGTAGTTCTAGTTCTAGCTGCTGTGATCTATGAGCCCTGGAAAGGTGTGAGAACCACTGAAGGTGCACAACTGTGCAGCCCCTGAGGGCAGCCCCGCCTCGTAGGAATCAAGCACCTCAGGACTGTCACGCAGTAACTGATCTGCCCATTTGTACTTGTTTCTTGGCTTTAATCTTTCAGCGTGGCTTCAGTCTTTGCTTGCATTCTAAATTTCCTCTGTTCAGTGGTTGTCTGTGGCAGAGAGAGAGAGAGAGAGAGAGAGAGAGTTTCCTGATCTCTCCTGGCCCATCAATCAGCTCTGCACAGCACAGACTGCTTCCTTGGATCTCCAGGCTTACAAAGAGCCATCACCTGGGCTTGTGATGCCTCTTGTTCTAAGTGCATCTTTGATTTATTAAACATTTTTGAGTAAAATTCTGCATACATTTTGCATGTTAGAAAGTCCCCACCCCCTTCCTTCGATGTAATAGAAAACCTGAAAGAGAAGAGGGGTCTTGAGATTGTCTCTTCCTGTCTAGACTTGTTGGCTTTCTGAGTATAGTATGCTGTGATGTTTCCAAAAGCCTTTTCACTTTTGGAGAAGGGAGACCTCTGAGCACATATCAAAAATGTGCTTCCAGACACTGCCTGGCTTTGCCATCTTCCCAAAGCGCATTTGCATGCTAGCTCTGGGTTGTACTAGCAAAATCCTGGATTAGCATCAGACAGTGCCAAGAGAAAGCCATTTACTTGCTGTGTGATCTTGGGACGGTTGGTTAACCTCTCTGAGTCTATCTTAAGTAAGCTTTGTGTGAGTTAAATGAAGTGCTATATGCAAAAGTGCCTGACACATGGTAGGCCCTTCATTTGTTTACTTTACCTTACTCTCTTCTTTTATATTACGTAATTTATTTCATACTTCTTATGGACACTATATATCTTTCTCCAAATTGGCATGATAGTCAGTGAAATTTTAAAAACAAAACAAGAAGCAATGAAATTTTTATAAAAGACATTAGACAAGAACGGAAACAATAACAGCAATAACAACAATAGATGCACAGAGCTGAATGACTCATTTCAGGAGAAGCCATTGTGTGCTGGGTCCCATGGGATCCTGT